GCCTGAAGGTGCTTATTGGATTTTGGGGTCCTGTACTTGGCAAGACTGCCAAAAAGTCTCTCACATGTGGTACCCCCATACTCAGGAGAATTCACAGAATGTATTTTAGGGAGTAATTGCACATATACTCATGGCATGTGTGAGCAATAAATCATTTAAGTGACAATTTTGTGTAAAAAAAAAAATAAACATTTTTTGTCATTTTCCAAAAACTTGTGGTAAAATAAATAAATTCTATTGACTCAACAAGCCTCTCAGCAAATAGTTTGAGGTGTCTACTTTCCAAAAAGGGGTCATTTTTGGGGGTGGGGGCATTTCATGCCAAGCATTAGACATTTATGCCATGCATCACTCACTCTTCCAACCACCAAGCCTTTTCTGACACATTTTGTTCACATGAAAAAAATCTGTATTTTTTGCCAGGAAATTACTTTGATCCCCCAAACATCATACATTTTTTAAAGCAGACACCCTAGTGAATAAAATGGTGGGTGCTGCAATTTTTTATGTCACATAGTACTCGCGCAGGCATTTTTCAAATGCAAATTTTTTTGAAAAAAATAAACTTGAAACTTGAAAATAAAAATGCACAAAAACACAATATATTGCCCAATTATTCAGTAAACTATAAAAGATGATGGTATGCCAAGTAAATAGATACCAAACATGACTGTGCATGCCTCGCGCAATGGCGACAAACTGCATACATTTTTAATATCCATAGGTAACGCTTTAAAAGCCTTTACAAGCTACCATTTTAGAATTACAGAGGAGGTCTAGTGCTAGAATTACTGCCTTTGATCTTACATTCACGGCGATACCTCGCATGCATGGTGCAACTGTTGTTTACATACTTGCACAGGGTCAAAGCTTGCGCACGCAGGTGCGCGCGTGTGAGAGGGGGCTTTTTTTTTTATGTAATTTGATTTTTTAAATTATTTTTACACTGTCCCTTTCAGTTATTTTTCCTTTGATCACTTTTAATGTTATCACAGGGAACGCAAATATCCCCTATAACTTCAGTGGGCATTGTCATATATTCTTTTTTGAGAAATCTGGGGTCTATCAGACTCTAGATATCTCCTCTGCCCTTACATTATCTAATCAAACCAAGATCAGTCTGATCAGATGCTTTCCCAATTTACAAATGGCGCTGTTTATATCCTGCAAAACTGAAGTGATGAAATGCTCGTATTTTCTGATTTATTAGACTATAGAGATGATTGGCACCATTCTGGTCTCCAATCAGCTCTATGGTCAGCTGGCAGAAACACCAGCTGAATTCTCAGGTTCCCCTTATGGCACGAGACTGCCTGAGAAGGCTGTGGAAGGGAGGGGGTCATTTTCTCCTGCTGCTTGTAAAAACAATCCTGCAGCTAACACAGGTCTGTGACTAAAAAGCTGTTTGATTATTCTCATCTAATTTCCATGTATTTTGGTGTGCTGAAAACAAATAAAATATTGAAAAAACTCCTAGACGTCATGATTTGCCACAAAATGCAAAATTGTCTTCAAAATTATAAATAAATTTTAATTTTTGGTATTTTTTTTATATATATATTGGGTTTTTAACCAAATTTAAAGTCAAAATTACTATTAATTAATTCACATAAGTGCATTGAAGATATACAATGCCAAAAAAACCTTAAAGGGGTTGTCCGAGTTATTTAAAAAAAATATAGCTCTGTAAATCTGATGGTCAGCAATATATACATAAGCTAAGCAAGTTTTAGGTAAAAAAAATTCTATTTCCTCATTTCCCTAGTTCTCTTCTGGCCCTTTGTTGTTATTTGCAGGTAAACAATCTCTGCCCCTCCCCCCCCCCCTGCAAAGGGGGTGAATACAAGTGCTGCTCTGAGTGACATGTCTGACTACTGGGATACTCAGCAGCATGCTGTATGAGTAAGCCTCAGCCCTGAGTCTGTGCTTCTAATGGTAGAAGGGGTTAATCTTTCCTTAAGAATCCAGTGGGTACCCTTGTTTTCTGTGTCTATGGGACAGTCGAGACTGACAGAATCACTAGACCAAGAAGAATTGGCAGCCGAGGATGCTAACAGTTGGTGAAACAAAAGTCCTCCGAGAAAATTTGGTACCTTCCCATAAAGTTCTTCTATCATCTCTCCACATAAAATTGGGATTGATGAAGCAATTCATAAAATCACTTCCAAGAGATGGAGAATGCTTCAAATACTTGGTCACCAAGTTTCCAGGCCTGTCGGAGGCAAAATTGAAGGAAGGTGTGTTCGTCAGACCAGACATTAGAAGGCTTATAGTGGATCAAGAGTTTGTCAATAACATGATGGATCCTCAAAAAGAAGGGTGGATTGCATTTAAAGAAGTCGTACAGAAACTTTTAGGCAATAACAAAGATCCTCACTACAAAAAGATCGTCGGACGAATGCTGAAAGCATTTCAAGCTTTAGGTTGCCTGATGAGTTTGAAAGTGCATTTCCTCCAGTCCCACCTTGACTACTTTCCTCAAAATTTGGGAGCTGTGAGTGAGGAACAAGGTGAACGATTCCACCAAGACATTAAAGAGATGGAAAGGAGATACCAGGGAAAATGGAGCATTACAGTGATTACAGACTACTGTTGGATGCTTCAGAGAGACATTCCAGATGCTACTCACAAGCGTAAATGCACCAAGAGGAGCCTCACAGGGAAAAGAATCGAGTTTAGTGTGTGTAGGTGAGCTCATTTCAGTTCAAAAAAGGATTTTCATGAAAAAATTGTAAAGAAACTTTAATTTTCTAAGTCTATTTCCATTTATTTTGAGGTATTGCCTTATTTAACATAGTTACCTAAATTGTCAGGAAATGTGATGTCCTATGACAAAATGGAGGTCATTTTCGGATTCAGCGCACCAAAAAACATACAGATTATGTGGAATAACCAAAACAGCTCTTGAAAAAAATTTTTTTGCAGACCTGTGTAATTAGCCACTAGGAATGCTTTTACTTGAAAGCTGATTGCCGGCTGAAAGAAATGATACCAGGATGATGCCTGTAGCTGTAGGCATCATCCTCGTATAACTACTCAAAGTCCAGTGATATACCAGTACGTCACCGGTCCTTGTTGGGTGTATATGCTATGTTCTTTTTTTCATGCAGCCTGTGGGCTGCATGAAAAAAAGAGAAGAGAACGCTGCCAGAAAAAAGTGTGTGGATTTGAGGATTGGACAACAGCACCTTCTGGGTACAAAAGGGCCGTTATGATCTCTTCCTGGAATTTTAGGCAAGATCCGCTTCATCCAGTTGCTTTGTAAATTACAAAACCGTTATATATAGCCAATTGAAAAAAATAAATAGACACCTTTTTGTGCCAGTATCGAGCTTTCCGGAAAACTAGGAACGGATTCATCATATGGTCGTTAAAGTCCATCCCTCCCCAGTGGTGTATTTTGGTTTTGTGCTGCCCTAGGCAAGACTAAAATCAGGCACCCCCCGCATCTAAATTTGTCCCACCCCTTCCTGTTTAAGATCCACCCCTTCATTTGTAAACCCCACCCCTTCCTATTTAAGCTCCACATCTCCTATTCTCCACACCCTCACCCACTGACAACGATGGGGCGCAATTCCTCCCGCTGACATCAATGATGGGGCACTATTCCTCCCACTGACACCAACAATGGGGTACTATTCCTCCCACTGACACCAATGATGGGGCACTATTCCTCCCACTGACACCAACAATGGGGCGCTATTCCTCCCACTGACACCAACAATGGGGCACTATTCCTTTCACTGACACCAATGATGGGGTACTATTACTTCCACTGACACCAACAATGGGGCACTATTCCTCTCACTGACACCAATGATGGGGTACTATTACTTCCACACTGACACCAGTGATGGGTCATTATTCCTCCCACTGACATCAATGATGAGGCACTATTCTTCCACTGACACCAATGACGGGGCATTATTCCTCCAAATGACACAAATAATAGAATAAAATAATATAATGCTGCGCTGCTATAAATAAATAACATTACATACAGTGTGTTGTTCATTCCAAACATCTAATAAAATATGCACATATTATCAAACCAAAATGCACAAATGAATAATTGCAGAAAAAATACAAAGATAAGTGTTTAAAGGATACATTTACCTCTAAGACAAAAAAACTGCACATTTTTTTGGCAAGTTAAAAAATGTGCATTTACTACTTTTGTTTGAAAGACCCTGGAAAGCATTGCACCAGCAATCAGCAGATCTCTGGTGCCATGCAGGTCTCCTGCAGATCTGTCAGAATATCTGCTTGGCTGGCCCGTACGGGATATATGACCACGCAGATATATTGACAGGAAGATTTAATGAACTACCACGGCGCTCCACAGCACCATGGTAGTTAATTGAACACTACAAGCCAACAGCCACTAAGGCTGCTGGGACTTGCAATTCAATCATTCACGAAAGTCCGTGAATTCCTCCCACTGACACCAACGGTGGGGCACTATTCCTCCCACTGACAACAACGGTGGGGCACTATTCCTCCCACTGACAACAACAGTAGGACACTATTCCTCCCACTGACAACAACGGTGGGGCATTATTCCTCCCACTGACAACAATGGTGGGGCATTATTCCTCCCACTGACAACAACGGTGGGGCATTATTCCTCCCACTGACAACAATGGTGGGACATTATTCCTCCCACTGACACCAACGGTGGGAGACTATTCCTCCCACTGACACTAATGGTGGTGCTTTATTCCTCCCTCTGACACCAACAGTGGGGCATTATTCCTCCCACTGACACCAACGGCGGGGCATTATTCCTCCCACTCACAACAACGGTGGGGCATTATTCCACCCACTGACAACAATGGTGGGGAATTATTCCTCCCACTGACAACAATGATGGGGCATTATTCCTCCCACTGACAACAATGGTGGGGCACTATTCCTCCCACTGACACCAACGGTGGGAACTATTCCTCCCACTGACACCAACGGTGCTCCGTCATTGGTGTCAGTGGGGGGGGAATAGTGCCCCACTCAACTTGGTGTCAGTGGGGGCAGGAATAGTGCCCTGTCATTGGTGTCAGTGTGGAGAGGGGGGAACTATTCCTCCCACTGGCTGCCCATTGGGGGGGAGGAATAGTGCCCATAGTAGTGCCCCATCATTGATGTCAGTGTGGGGGGGGGGGGATAGTGCCCCATCATTGGTGTCAGTGGGAGGAATAGTACCCCATCATTGGTGTCAGTGGGGGAAGGAAAAGTGTTCCATCATTGGTGTCAGTGGGGGGGGGTGGAGTAGTGCCCCATCATTGGTGTCAGTGGGGGGAGTAATAGTGCCCCATCGTTTGTGTCAGTGGGGGGGATAGTGCCCCATCTTTGGTGTCAGTGGGGGGAGGAATAGTGCCCCATTGTTGGTGCAGTGGGGGAGAAATAGTGCCCCATCAAAGGTGTCAGTGGGAGGAATAATACCCCATCATTAGTATCAGTGACACCAATGATGGGGCACTATTCCTCCCACTGACACCAATGACACTTAACTTGCTGACCCCTGCTCCAGGCTAGGTGCTGCTGCAGCCAGCATACCTGGTTGCAGCAGCACCATCTGCACGGCACACTTACCGGGCGGTCAACTGTCCTCCTTCATTCACTCCGGCCGCTCCCTCACTCGATGTTCACACTGCCGCTCGGCTCTGCCTCCTCGCTGGTGATTGGCCGCCTGTGTGCCTTTCCTGAGCTACAGTTCTGGCGCCCAATCACAAGTGAGGAGGCGGAGCTTGCAGAGGGTGTCATCCCGCCCACACATCACGTCCAGGCACCGGACCTGTGGACCTCTCTACATTACTATACACATACAAAAAGTGCATGTGATCTCATCAAACTGTTGTCTTATCAGAAAAAAAGAAAAACTAAATGGCATGCTGGATTAATCAAATTCCTTTCTAAGCACTGATCTGCCAGCTCATCCACAGAACCAAGCTCATGGCATGTGCCACACAGAGGTTTATCCTTCAACTATTTTAATTTCCCAGGTCATTGACCTTCAGAGGGCAAGCCAGTCCAGGCTAACCAGTTGAGGGTGGTACTTCAAGCATTCAAGGCCTTCAATCACCAGCTACAGGGATGTCATGTGAAAGTACTATTGGACAACAAAACATCTGTAAGCTAGCTGCCCAAGAAGGGTAGAACAAGAAGCCTTTCACTCCTATGTTTTTCCTCTGAGATTTTTTATTGGGTAGGGAGGCATCTGAAAGTCTATCAGCCTGTTGAAAAACAGAATATCCTGGTGAAAAGCTTCAGCTATGAGTTTGGGGATAGGAATAAGTGGACTCAATGGAGAACTCCAGAGGTGGATCTGATGGAAGCTGCAAAGAACTCTCACCTGCCACTGTTCTTCTCCCACTTCATCGATCTGCAGGCACTTGCGCAGGATGCTCTTATGCATTCCTGGAAGTTGAGGATGGTGTATGTATTTCTCCTGGTATGGAGGGGAAGATTTCCCCTACTGTGCAGAATGAAGATTGCAGATCCAATACAATTGTTGTGAGAGAGAAAGAGACCTTCTGCATCACAGATGACTCTGTCAGTTAGCCATCTTAGAATATGTGCTAGAAACCTTACTTTAGGCAAGAAAGCCATATAATAACTCATCTTATCTTTGGGTTTGGGAATACTTTAAAGATATGGCAGCAGCAAGATGGCTATACCTGCTCTTTCCAGTCTTCAGGTGCCAAAATATATGTGTTTCTTAACACACTGAGAGTCTTTGCCCTCTCAACAAACACAGGGACTAGATGGCCAGACCACCATCGTCTAGTGCATGGGTCTCCAAACTCTATAAATAAAGGGCCAGTTTACTGTCCTTCAGAATTTAGGGGGGCTGAACTGTGGCCATTTGGAGAAGAAAATGTCCTGGCATCAGTGCGAGTAAACAAAGCCTCATCATTGGTATTAAGGGGAAATACAGTGCCCCATCACTGGTATCAATGGGAGGAATAGTTTCCATTGTTGGTGTCAGTGGGAGGAATAGTGTCCCATTGTTGGTGTCAGTGGAAGGAATAATGCTCCATCATTGGTGTCAGTGGGAGGAATAGTGCCCTATCGTTGGTGTCAGTAGGAGGAATAGTGCCCTATCATTGGTTTCAGTGGGAGGAATAATGCCCCATTATTGGTGTCAGTGGAAGGAAAGGCGCCCCATTATCGGTGTCGGTGGGAGGAATAGTGTCCCATCATTGGTGGCAGTGGGAGGAATAGTGTCCCATTATTACTGTCTGTGGGAGGAATAGTGTACCATTATTGGTGTCAGTGGGAGGAATAATGCTCCATCATTGGTGTCAGTGGGAGGAATAGTGCCCCATCATTGGTGTCAGTAGGAGGAATAGTGCCCTATCATTGGTTTCAGTGGGAGGAATAATGCCCCATTATTGGTATCAGTGGAAGGAATAGTGCCGCATTATTGATGTCAGTGGGAGGAAAAGCGTCCCATTATTGGTGTCAGTGGGAGGAATAGTGTCCCATCATTGGTGTCAGTGGGAGGAATAGTGTCCCATCATTGGTGTCAGTGGGAGGAATAGGCCCTATCATTAGTGTCTGTAGGAAATAGTGCCCTATCATTGGTGTCAGTGGGAGGAATAATGCCCCATCATCATTGGTGTCAGTGGGAGGAATAATGCCCCATCATTGGTGTCAGTGGGAGGAATAATGTGCCACTATTGGTGTCAATGGAAGGAATAGTGTCCCATTCTTGGCATCAGTGGCGGAACTATGCCCCATTGTTGCTGATGGTGGGGGTAAAAAGGCCCCAAGGGCCAGATAAAAGCAAGCAAAGGGCCACATTCAGCCCCCGGGACGCAGTTTGGAGACTACTGATCTAGTGCAACAATTTCTCAAGGCCATGATGAAGATGAGACCGCTGTTAAAAATTATTTTTCCAAAGTGGGATCTTTACTCTTGTCTTGAGGACACTGATGACTCCTCTTTACGCCCCAATTAAATTATGTTTATTGTGGATCCTGACTCTAAAACAGTTTTGGTACCATAACTCCATGCTTTTTCTTATAAAGAACCCTTCTGACAATGTTGTGCTGCATCCAATTTCTTTCCTTTTTGCCCAAGGTTCTACTGCATTCAATTTCAATCAATTTCATTTTACCAGCATTTAGAGCAGGATGCTCTAAAAGTGGCACATGGGCCACTAGTGGCCTTCAGAGCCCTTTGATATAGCCCTTGACCTCAAACCAGGGAAGCAAACTCCTATTATATCCTGCTGGTTTGGTGCACTTTCTGAAAGCACACCAAAACTTCTGAATGCAGGAGTTTTGGTGTGCTTTCAGAAAGTAAAGTGCACCACACCCACAGGATATAATAGAAGTCTACTACTTTGACAACTCATGGGGCCCCCTGGCAATAAGGGATCATGGGGCCCCTGTGTCCTTGCCCAAACTCCAAAAAGCCTATGATAAAGGTACCAGGGGCATCTCATGGGGGCCCCCTACTGGCCCCCAGGCCCTCAGGCAGTGCACGAGTTTCCAAATGGTCAGTCCGCTCCTGCTCACAGGAAAGCCACAGGCAGGGGCGGACTAACAATTCATGGGGCCCTGGGCAATAGGGGATCATAGGGCCTGTGTCCTCACTCACACTCAAATCACACATAAAAAAAACCTATAAAAGGTACCAGGGGCATATCATGGGGCCCCCTACTGACCCCGAGCCCTTGGGCAATGTCCGAGTTCCCGGATGGTCAGTCCATCTCTGGCCACAGGTGTACTGTGCTGCACCCAAAGTGCGGATAAACCGCAGCGCACCAGTGTGATAGCAAACTTGTAGGAGGCTCAGGACAGTAAGGGTCTCATTTACATTTTCAGTTTAAGGAGTGGAAAAACAACATAGTTGAAATGTGTTTTACCACACACCCCCAATCACTGGTGTGCCATCAGGGGTTGCAATGTTGATCCTGTCCCATGCTCCAGGGGGACCATGCAGCCTCCCTGACACATTCTGTTTTATACTTGGACAGAAGGGACGGCAGGGGCGGCATATGCAGGAACCAATTCTCTCCGTTTTCCTCTTGCAAACACTGAAAGCTGGCTACTGGTTACCAGATCACTTAAGTGACCCTCGCTTTTCAAAAGGAGAGCACCCATGTTTTAGTATCACGTTCTTTAGATGCAAGCCAAGAATTTGCTCTGTCTACCTACAAACAGGAGACAATCTTTTTGTTCTCTTCCTGGGCCCAATGAAAGAAGTGACAGTTCCACTAAAATTTCTTTCGTCTTGGTTTACCAAGACAATCAGATTAGTTTATCAAACACCAGGTTTACCTACCCCTTTGGAGATAGAGGCTCTTTTAGTTAGGGCATAAAAGCTTCATGGGCAGCTGTGGAAGAAATATCAGGTAAAAGGGTTTTCAGGGCTATCAGCTGAGCCACCCTGAACACATTATTCACCGCACACAGTCTGCACACCACTGTAATGCAGTGGTATGAACTGGGCACATAAGGAGACAAGGCATTTTGCCTTGTCATGCGTTGGGACTGTGATGAACTGGCTGCCAAATGAAGTCTCACCCCATCTGTTGTGAATGGACCCTTAACAGGTACAGCAAATATTTTTTCTTTTCCTTTTGGAATAAAGGCTAAATAAATAAATAAATACATAAAAGCTGATCATTGTCAGCATCCCTGTCAGTGGTATATGGTTTGTCGCCACCCTCCAACTGCTACATCTATAGAAGAGCTTGTTCTGTTGAAAAACAACGAACTTACTGACCGGATCACCAGGTGACAATAAAGGAAAGAAAGTCTAAAAAAATAAAACAAATTTAGCCATTGCATCAGAGACTTGGTATGCTGCAATATAATAAATGTTTACTTCTGGGTTTAATACCACTTTACATCTGCCAAAAAATTTAGTAAAATACTTGAAACTACTTTAGCAATATAACTCCTAGGCTTTCCTACATGATCAATGCTGGAGATATTGAACTGATTCTTATTCTCTTCTGTGTGGGTGGAGGTGATTTGTTAATGGCCTTGTAGTCAGTGCAGTGACTGGTTGTCTCTTGGTCTCCAGGAGGTCTGAGTCACCCCTCTCCTCCTCCCCTCTATAATGGGGCGCCTGGACTGCCCTGGGAGTTCAGCTGATACCACGTAACCCAGCGAGTGATTGACGAATAAGCAGCAGCACCACCTAGCGGACACATTGGGACAAGCACGGAGCGGACACATCTAAAGGGATTAGCGGGCTGCGCTCTGTGTAGAACAGCGGACTCCTCTCCCTCTATACAACAGCGGACTCCTCTCCCTCTATACAACAGCGGACTCCTCTCTCTCATGTCTCTGCTCCCTTCATACAGCTGTGTCTC